GGATATGGTAGCTAGTTTACAACATTACTTACCTTTCCGTCCCCAGTAAAATAATGTCTGAATATTACAAGATAATCGAAAAAATTGAATGTATTTCGTCACGTCGATACTGCATTCTGCATTCACGGCACGCCATACTGTTTCAGTGGCTTCTCCCGAAACTGGGATCGCAGGCACACTTCAACACCATGTGCTTTTCATTTGCCGCGAAAATGACGGCAGATACCAATCAGTTGAAGGAATTACGTGAGCTTTTACGTGCGGGGGGAATGAAGATTCAGCCAAAAGGCTAATCCAAACTTTGAATACTTCATCAGTTGTTGATGTAGGGAAAGTGGATTTCACCAAACTGTCAACAGCGAAAAGGCGTCGAGGAAAGCCAGTCGAAAATAAAGAACAGCATTTCAAAGTAGCAAAGGGAAAATACGCAAGGACCCGTGTTTGTCTCAAAATGAAAACCACGGACTTAAAACTTCTTATGCTTAGCTTTATTTAAAATGACTATGGAGACAACCATCACCTTCGGTGTTACTCGTGTTGTTTAATTGTTTTCGCTCTTCAATTGTGACTTTTCTTGCATGCAAAGTAACATATAAAATCATGTTCCTGTGTAAGTTATATATAAAATAAGTTGGCGACCAAAATTTATGATCTGGTGACCAAAATTTTTCCGTTAGTCGCCAGCTGGCTCCCGAACGAAATAGTTAATTTCAAGCCCTGGTAAATTGGGAAACATGCAACATCCGCAATCTTGTTCAGCCATTTGAGTTCAGGAATTATCATTTATTTGTCATTTCTTCTGCTAATAAGTGGAAAAATTTCCAGTTTCACAGTTAAATGATCTTTCAGCCATTTACATAGCATGACAAAAGATGGCACCTTGAAAGATGGTTGAAAGATGTCCCTATAAACACAACACACTGAAAGTGGGTGTAATAGCTGAGCAAAATAATACAGTGTACACAACAACTACAGTACTATATATTTAAAAATATAATGGAAAAAATGTTCTAACCTTCCACAATTCCTCAAGCTTGTTAATCTGCTGGGCTGAGATCTACAAATATACAGGTCAAACAGGGCATACAAGATTTGATTTACAACTTTGTTTACAATAGTGTGGCATAATAATTATTTAGATGGAAACTTACTGTCTATGGTAGCTACATGTAAGTGTTGTTTTCTTATTTAGCATGAAAGAAGACTAATGTTAATATTTTAGTTCTATTAAGCTTGTGAGTCTACAGAAACTGGCGCTGTCAAGCAACATAACAACAAATCATAGTTTATACTGGGGACCTCTTAAACTGGCATGGACTTTGACACTATGATATACACTGTATCTGTCCGTAAAACCTTGGTTGTTGATGAAAAATGTTGATTTTAGCAATAGACAGGTTGAAAGTTAGCTAGTGAAATCAATTTTTTAAGGAATATAATTATATTACTTAAAAGTGACGAAGTCGAACGCACTCTCATAATTTTGATTACTACTAGTATTTAAAAGTTAAATAATCCCAAGGCTACGTTTTAAGAAAAATTACAAGGAGCCCAAAGGTTCCTAACCATGAAATCCTGGGTGCCCAGCACTTCAGCTTGTCAGAAAAAAGTAAGTTTTTCTAGTCGCCCAAAGGCAAAAGTTAGTTGCATGTGGCACCTGGGCGCTTCTAAAGCATAGCCCTGAATCCATCTGTGGACAAGTTACAAGATTTGCACAATTTTCTTATAACAGTATGTTCATATAAAAGACATGCCTGGTTACCAACTGAATGACCACTAAAGTTATTAAAGCTTACCTGTCTTGCTCTCAACTGGTCCTCATCAGGTGGAACTTTCACGAGCCATGATAGGAAACACCGGTCATTAATCAGAGGCTGCCACTGGGCTTGATCCCTGATGAGGACAAAAATGAACAAAAAAATTAAGACGGAATCCACCAGAAGTTCAAGTAACAAGTGGACAAAAACCTAGTACCAAAATTATTTACATCATATTGCAAACTTCTGTACAGCTGTTTTAAATGTCTTCTGAAGAAAAAAATAATTTCTAGCAACACCTAACGTTGAAAATGAATGTTGAACCTCATATGAAACACTTGAAAGTACTGGTGAAATGAAACTGATGATGAAATTTTGCCTGTGTTTACATAAGTTCTCTGAACTTTGAAATTTATTTTCTCTCGTTCCCATGGGAAATTGTTTTTGGTGTTATTTTAGGCAATTATTTATGTATTTAGCTTTAAGAAAATGTAAAAATGACTGTAAAATACTTAAAATTATTCTGGTACCAGATTTTTGTCCACTAAAACCTGAAATTGCTCGAGTTTCTTTCGGATTTCGTCTTAATCCATTACAAAATATAGTTACAACAGGAAAGCAAGAATTAGATACAAGATGGTAACTTGGCAATCATGCATTAGGGTTTGCAAGCTTGCACTACATGATCAAACAACTGCCATAATGGTAATGACCATCTCTAACAAAATATTTTACAATCTTGTAATGGTAAATATAAAAAGTGTATATTTGAATTATCACTGCTTTTTGATGTTGTACATACCAGTTCATATCTTTGGAGTTACTTTGTGTTGCACATGGTTGCCTAGAGAAACAGTTGACATAATGACAGTCAATATTCTTTCTAGCAAAGTCAACCAATACATTTTCAATATTACTATTTTAAGCTTCAGCGCATACAGAAATAACACACTCTAGACAGCAGAATATTAGACCTTTTCTGAATTGTTGACACAAAAAACTACTTGAAGGTAAAAGAATGGTTTAAGATTTTTTTTATTTCTAGAATATGATAAAATGTTAGAATAAATTCTCAACAAGGTGGGCAAATAACGGGCAGGTGTAAACTGAGTGAAATGATGTTGGTGGTCCATTGCAGGTGATAGGGACCACTGACAACCTTATAAAAATTATGTTAGGGGTGGATGTGTCTGGAGATGGCTGGAAGACCAATCCAGGTACAGGAGTGCCTCCAAAACACAAGGCAGATGTGAAGGGTGGCTGTAGTGGAGGTGCTTGCCACTAGTTCTTTCTACTGACATTGTTTTCTCTTGGCTTCTGCTGCCCCTAATTCAATACTGACTTCCAATAAATAGCATTTACTGCATGAAATTCACTCAATTAGAGGACCTGTACTTCCTTGAATTATCTTTCTTTCTCTCTCGCTTTAGTTTAGCCGTTTTTCAAAGAATTTTTTTTTGCTCTGACTGACACACCACATGTTGAGAAAGACTATTTTGAAGTCCATACTGACCTACATAGTAGCACAACAACAGAATCTGCCTTGGCGGGGATGAAACCCAACAGGAAAACATTGCGACAAGCACAGTTGTAACATTCTAAGATTGTCTCGCCCAAAGGACCATCCTTGTGAAGTGTCACCTCTTTATGCTTGGCTCTGACAAGATGGTTTACAATATGGCTACAAACAAAACAAACAGGAAAGAGTAAATGGCTGAGTCAAACTACATTACTTGAAAAGTATGATAGACAAGTGGCTAAAAAGTAAAAAATGAAAATCATCACAGTAGTAGTTGTCATGTTCAAATTCACATACAGTACATGTACATGAATGGTAACTGACATCATTTAAAAAATGTATGGTTGAGAAGATGGTTTAAGCCCAGAAGTGTCTTGAGTTTGCCTAGAATATTATTGTCTGGGGGAGAGCAGACTCTAGAAGGATTGCAAGACTGACATCAACTACAAGCAAGTTAAGGTTGTTTTGACATTTGTTGATATTTCAGTATTTCAGTAAACATTTCAGACTAACAGTGTTTAAGTATTTCGAAGAATATGATTTAGTCTGGATGCTTCCTGTGCAAGAGAACCATTGCGTACCTGCCAGCAGTGTTTCCTCTCCCATTACAAAACCACTTTTTGCACTGAATGCACTGGACAACGGATGCTGGGTCATGGACTCCACAATACCTGGAAAATTACTGTCATTTAGCTTTGAACTTAAGAAAGGGAGCCTGAAAGTCTTGTCACCATAAGGAAATATGATGTAAAGGACACTGTAGCCAGTAAGACAAAAGTACATGTAATGTGCATGAAAATTTTTCAAGCAAGTGAAAGTGGGAAAAGCCCCGAACTCCGGAACAAGGTGTCTGGGTTCAAGCCCTGGCAAGATGCCCTATTAACATTTCTTGTAACTAGTTGAATCCATTTTACATAGCCAAATGGTGCTGAATGCTAAAGCTTACATGTAGAACAAGATTTACATTTTTATAATAATCTAGAGACCAGTTTTAGTGCTCTGTTTGAAGACCACAAATACTTCTTAATCGTTTACTCAGTTATCTTTTGTTTTAAAAGGGAACTTTCAAGACTAAAAAATTAAAAATAAGCTTATTATAAAGTTAATGGCAAAAATAAATTTAGAAAAAGAAATAAGCTTAGATGTCTTGCAATATTTACTGTAATAAAAAAGGAACACTTATCCTTTTGTCGTGGAGAGGGTTAAAAAAATAAAGAAAACTGAAGTCCTACGATTAAGATCAAACTTATAAAAACTACCCACTCAGATTTTCTAAACCGAAACGTCTATAGTTATAATGTAAACCGCTTTCGAAAGATATACATGATAGACATTTTTACAGTAAGCTTGCATCGCAATAAGCAGTTGTAAAAAAGCTCTTTATAAAACCACTGAACGGTTTTTTGAAAAAAACTGAATAACTATGGCAACTGCTTTTAAGTTAAACACACCTGCACGCGTAGGCTGGAAGATCTTTCGAGTAAAAGGTTTCATCTTCGTCTTCCTCGAAGTTCAGCTCTCCTAACGAGTTGCTAACCTTGGAGATATTGCTGTCTGTTTTCGCATCTTCATTTCCCGTTGCTGGGCCATTAGTCAGCTCCTCCTTTTTGTCCACAGAACTTCCATTAACCAAAGGTTGGCTCCCTTCGGGCTGCGAAGCTTGCGACTGAGTTTGAGTTTGCGATGGGACAGTGAAATCGTGAAATTCGTACTCGCTTCCTTGTGTGTCCGCGCCGAAATCAGCTTCTTCGGTGTCTAAAAAAGTCAATGTTTGAGATGCAGGCCCGTAAGAGTCTACAGTGCTCATATTTAATCTGAGAAAAACGTTAAAATTAACTTGCTTTCGCCACCTAAAACGAAACTACCGGAAGAGTTTTGAAATCTAGCGCAAGAACGTGGCCAAGATGGCGACCTGAGCCACGCGATTCCTGTTTCGCAATACATTCGTTAAAATTTCGGGATTATTCGGTAATACCGACATATAACGGGGGTTTCCGAAACTAGTCGACAAACTAGTCGACAATTAATCGGAGAAAAATCTCCCATCATTCTATCCGTCCCAAGCGGAAGACGCCCGGTAGATTTCCTTGCCTGTTTTGAAAACTTTGAAACCTCTTGCACATGAGAGGTAAAATCTTTAGTTTTCAAATTTTGTTAGGAGCAGTATTTTTGAAGAATCCCTCTACGTTAAGATTCTTCGGCGCTTTTTCGGATCAGTCCCAACGATGTCTGTGTCTTGTGTGACATCACGTCGTGTCCTGCAATCTTTTGCGCCAAAATTGCGTAATGCGCCACGGTCTTGTGTAGTTCGTTCTCTCTGTGAGAATCCTACTCCAAGACCGTTACCAAAAGCGGCGGTACAATCCTTCGGAGTTTTGTTGGATATCGACGGAGTCCTTGTAAGGGGCCGGAATGCAATCCCTGGGGCAAGAGAAGCTCTGGAAATGCTACAACAGGCGGACATTCCTACAGTATTTCTGACGAATGCCGGGTCTGAGTCTGAAAAGGAAGCTGCTGAACGCCTTTCTGATAAGACTGGCTTTGAGGTAATCGCATGAACCAATTAATGTGTTTTCATTAAAATCGGGGATGGGTTGCTGGGTCAAGATCAAATGAGATATTGGGACATTCCATTTTTTATCCGCACCCCTCTTGGTTGGGGGAGGGGGAAGAGGTGCTGATAAAAAATGGAGTTTCCCATTCAGTGATGGGCTGGGGTGGGGGTGGTAGGTGGTCTTAAATAACTCCCCCTGATTACTTAGTGTTTCCTGCCTCTTTGGGCTTCTTTTTAATAAGATAGCTTGCAATGTTATAAAAATATTTTTCCTGTTTATCTCAATTCCTCCAAGCTGGGGAATCCCACTTGTCTTGTGCACATTCCCTTTTCTTGTGTCATGTGGATAGAGTTCAGACATTAAACCATGTTGCATGTTTGAATGTCAGAACTAGCTATGTCACTGTTTGGGAATTATTTGGGATATTGGGAGAATCACACTTACAGTGAGCTTATCCTTTTCATCCTGGCTGGGACATTAGACTGCGATCAAACCCAGCTTCTGAACCCTGCCCTGTGCTTTTTAGCCTATACTTCACTCCATGAGAGATCCATTTCTTCCAGCTTCTTCAACACTGTTCTCCACCAGGTGGTTTTTGGATGGCCTCTCATTCTTTGCCTATAGGTAGTTGGGGTTACAGGGTTGGGAGGATCATAGAATGCATTTAAGAAGACCATGATATCCCATACTAATATATCTCAGATCCCCACAGCAAAACATTGTAAATGGAGTACTTTTATTTCACTTGAAGGTACAAGAAGAACAGATGGTTTTGTCACATACACCATTAAAAATGTTTGACTGGCTACACAACAAACATGTTTTGGTATCTGCACAAGGAAATATGAAAGAAATTCTCCAAGGGTATCCTTTTAGAAATATTTATGTCACAGAAATCTTTTACATCATGGCAATAAAAACATCAGTGTACATCTGTTTCACCTGGTAATATCATCCCAGTGTCACATATGTTAACCAATGATGCCACCTGCTTAGTTTAAAACTGTTTAAAACCTCACTGAATGGGATCTTTTTTTAGTACACTATACATGTGAATTAGAGAAAGTTTTATTACATAGGTTTTTTATTGTAGACTAGTTAATTAGTTCGTTAGTTAATGTAATGTAATGTTAGTTAATGTATTCCTACTAATATAGTTAATTTATTCTTTGTAATTTTTTACACGACTCCTAGCAAGACCATTTTTATGGTAAGACTTCGTGTTTTAAATAAAGATTGATTGATTTGCTTGATGTCAAAGTCTTTCCTGAACTTTAAAATAATATTAATACTAGATATAAAATATTGGACACCATAATATTCTTAATCACCTAGTTTTAACTGCATTTGAATACTAAAAAAAAGAAATAATTTCTCAAGTTTGACGCAAATCAATTGTCTCCAAGGCCATAGGCAGAAAAAAGTTATGACTGAGGTAATATTGTCCCTGAAAAATTATGACTGAGGCAACGTCCATTAAATTCTCTTCCTAGGTATATACACTGTAGGGTCTCATAATTATGTCAAAAATTAGTTTATTTATTTGTTCATTTATTTTGTCCCCGAAAATGATTTTGCAGGCACCATAATCAAGCTACAGGGTAACCATACCAGAATGTTGCTTCAAATATTATATACATTTACATTTAAACCCTTCTTTATGAGGCCCTGTTAGGGGGGTACCCATGTCCCCTGTCTGAAATTCACCACCAGCCATGTCGGCATTTCACAAGATTCCTATGTCGCCTGTCGGAATTTCGTCTCAGAAGAGTTGTGTCAGGAAATTTGACCTTGTTCGATTAAAACGAAGCTACACGCACAACACATCGTAATACCTTTGTTTATTAAAAAAAAACCGACATAGTGCTCTCAAGTCTCACACATTGAGCATGAGGCTCATGCAAACGAATTCAATCTTGTGCTCTTACACTGAAACTATTATTTCTTACGTATTGAAGGTTCCTTGCTGTTTTAGTTAACTACATATATAATTAAGTATCTCTTTGGATATAATTTACTTCTTGTAGGCTTTGCACTTGCTTCGAACATTTTTCAGCACTAGAAATTCTTATGCAAAGCCAGCATTTCTCCGGTCAGTGGGTTTAATGATTACTTTATGGTTACTTTTAAAGCATCACATTTCGACTCAGAATGAAGGAAAAGACTTCTTAGCTA